GCCATTGGTCTATCAAGGCTTATAAATTTGAGAACGTTCTTTGAATGTTCATCAGTTATTTGAAACGTTAGCCAAAGCATATCGAGGACATAAAATAAAATAAAGTCTAGCAAAAAGCAAAATGAACGTGTAATATTCAAGATTTTTTTTTTTTAAATCAATATTTTTTTTTTATTGTGATTAGATTGTTATGATGCAAGATGTATGTATGTACTGTACATCTTCAAAGCCATGAAGAGGTGTATTTAACCATTTTCTTTTGGTTTTGCAACATAATTGTTGTTGCCTATATGGGTTGACAATGAAGTAATTCTTTCAGGAAAGGTGAGGTTAGGAAAATCGTTAGCGAAGATTTTTTTGTTTTGTTTTGGACTATAAAAACATTGAAAAATTTTAAAAAATTAAACTTTTCAGACACACTGGGTCGTATATTAATATTTTGGGGTGGAGGTTATTATTTCAATTAAGTTCCTCGACCCGTTTGGGCCGTCATCAAGAGAAAAAAGGCCCGCTTGTTAGTAGCAGTGAACTACAGGAATGAACGATTTTCTGAAGAAAATGAATTTTATCTGTACCTTTTATTTGTTTCTGTTTTTTATAGTTAACTATAGTCAGTTCTTGTGTTGCTCAAAACATAGATAGATTGGTTTTTTAAGATCGAAGCTGGAGAGATTCCCGGAACTAAGAATTCCCTTCTTGGTCATTTTGACGGTTTTATTGGTTGCTGGGAAGGGGATGTGTTTATGTTATCATTTGTTCTTTGGGAGTGTGTATGATATGGGCATGTGTATATATTAGTATGTGTGTGTGTATAAGATTGGGACCCCAAAACCTCCACAAGCATGTGTGTCTTGGTTGGGTGAGAAATATGGGCAGGGCTTGATTTATGGGGTAATATTTTAATTCTATGTTGTTAAATTTGTGATTAAGCCCGTCTGGACCAAGTGTTTTGAGGCGCAAAATCCATTTGTCTTCATGTTCGTCTAAAATTTTTTTAATGTTATCTTTTCTGTCTATTTCTATTTTTTCAATTATAGCGAATTTGGCGTGGCTTTTAGAACAATGTTTTTCAAGGTAGAAATGTTGCTTTACAAGTAATAATCTTTCGTGGGGAGCCGACTTGATTCGATTCCGATAATTATTAATTCTGTGGTGAAAGGGCCATTCAGATTTTCCGACATATGGTTTCAGGCATAGTGTGCATTCTAATAAGTAAATTATGTTATGACTTCTACAGTTAGAGTCGCGGTAGATTTTGAAAGTAGATTTAGTGACTGAGCTACTGAACGAATTACTGTGTCTAATGTGGTTACAGCATAAGCTTCTTTTGTTGTTACATGGTTGGGAAAATCCTGTTTTTTTGTGTTTGTTTTTTTTTGTTTTTTTGTTTTTTGGTTGATTACGGATTACCTTATCATCTGAAATTTGGTTTCTACCGATAATTTCTTTAAAATTCATAAGTCTACTATATGCTACAAGGTCGTGTGTTTCAAAGAAAATTTTTAGGTCTGGTTTGAGATGTAATATTCCCCAGCGACTTTTGATTATCTAAAATATATTCTACTTCCTGTTTCGTTCGTGTTTTTGCGTGTTTATATATCTAAATATGTCTACATGTTTGTATATTATAATCTGATTGTGTACGTATTGTCTCTTGCAAGATTCCATCCTTCCCTGCCCATATCACCACTTCAAATGTATCTAAGTTGTAACGAAACTTTACACAAATATTAGATTTTTATGTTTATTCTAACTTAATTTTTGACTTTTCAATTAAAACAAAATAAATTTAAAAATATATATGTATTTTACCCTCAGTTTCTTCTTTAAATAATTTTATAATATTTAAACTTAATACAGATTAAATTTAAAATTTAAAATTGGTAATTTTTAATTTTCAATTTTATAATAAAATTTAATATTAATTAGAATGATTTCTATTTTAGTCTAACTCTAATATTAAGCTATTAATTATTATAACCAACGTTCGTTGTCAAGTTTTTTGAATTCTCATATGCTTGTATTTTGATTGGTCATAGCACCTTATGTAAAAGCGTTTCCCCTATCGGTCGATTTGAATCTTTTAAAACTCTTTATTCAACATTCAACACCATCACTTGATATTTGACTAGAAGTGTTGAAACAAAAATGGCTATTTTTGTAGTGATTTTATAATATATTTATGTTATAATTTTCGAATGAGTTATATATATATATATATATATATATATATATATATAGTCTTAAGGTGTGCTATATTTATGGAATAAATTGCTCAATATCAGAGATAGAGATTGCGTAAATATAAAAGCTAACATTGAAGTCAACACTTAGAGGCGATAGACTGTTTAATGCTAGACGTTAAC